TCAATCGTTTTATAATTCCACTCTCCCTTGTACTGTCACAAGCAGTATGAAGTAAATTTTTTTGTACCTGCTAAGGGGACAAGCTGGGGCAGTAGGTAGGAACAGAAGGTCTCATTTGTTTTGGGATTGATGTTTGGAAGTTGAATGCCTGAAACAACTGTTATAGTAATAAAATTTAAAAGTCAACATCAGTTAAAGCAATATGACATTGAAAAAATTTCAGATGCACTGACAAACGTTTCTATGAAAGTTTTTTACTCTTTTCTGTATCTGATATAGGTGTCACATTGCATTGGGCCTTCACATTTTCTTTGTCAACCCAAAATACTGAAAGCTTTAATGTTTCCTCTTTTTCTAGCCTTATGTTTTTGAGGTCTAGAAGGATATTTTGTATGAAATGTCTCATTTGGTTTTATCTGACATTTGACTCAAAATTATTTTGTGTCACTGGGAAAAAAATCACAGGAATGAAGTGCCATTTTCATCATATCTTATTTGTGGATACATGCTATGATATAACTTAGTAACTTATCACTGATGATATAAGCTTAGTCAGGTGACATTTTTAATTTACTAAAACCTAACCCCACACCATATTGTGATATTTAGAAAATATTAGTCTATAATTAAGATGAAAATATTTTAAGAGCACATATATATACATATGTGAACATTTTGAGAGCACATAAATATATATACACATATATATACATATATACACATATATGTTTGGAAGATTTTAGTCTAGCCCCCTCTAGTGATTTCCACAATTAATAATACATGATAACTTAGGGTCATTTAATTTTTTCCTTTGTTTTATGTCATCCATTCTGTGTTTATAACTCACTGTTCAATTTTCAGCTTTGAGTTTTGATGGCTCTTTTGAGTGGCCTATATTTTTTAGTATAATCTCATCACTTTGTATGTGCTGTGTCTGTTATTACTCCCTTACTGTCTAGTAATGCTGGAGTCTCTTGTTTGTTTTATCCATTCAACACCCAAGACCTGAATAAATAAATGATAAAATCAATTATTTCTTCAAGAAGTCCTGATTTATTTCATTGGAAAAAGGATTTAGATAAGCATCACCTTTTCAAAAGTAAAGTGAACTGTAGTGTGTCTTAGGGCTCATATGAACATCTCTAATTGCAAGAAATAGCCACTTCTTTAATAATATAATGACAAATTAAAGATTAAATTATTTATCACATCTGCTTATGATTGTTAATTGGAAGGGAAGAGATACTTTAGGGAATGATCTTCCCCAGACTCCTATATTCTGCATCATTCAACCTTAAGTACTTCTCCAGGGAAGGCAAAGAGAAGCACATTCCAGTTAAATTCCTTTATGAGGGTAGGTTAAAAGAAACTATATGTGGTGATTCTGGGAACTTCTTAACATAATGTCTAGCCTGCACATAAGAATTCAAGCCTCTTTGTGGGATGAAAGATTTCATGGATCTCAATAATTAAACAATATTATAATCACCTTGGGTAAAGCGTGTCCAGAATATCTTAGGGAGAAAATCAACTGAACACCCTAAACTTTGCAAGAATTCTAACTAAAAGTGATAAGATTTATATTAGCAATTAGCTTAGTTATATTTAACTTGGAGAAACTAAATCTTATCAGTAGTAAGGTATGCATCTAACACAGAAAAGGAAGAGAGTGGAGAATTTTCCAGTAATGTTTTGCAACATTGAGAAGATGGAAAGAAAAGACTTTCACAGCAGATCCTGGTAAGACGGTCACAGCTACATAAGAGTAACTAGTAGATGGGGATGTGAACAACAGGAAAATGAAAATATCTGAGTGTTCCACTATATATGTTCCATGGGCAATGGTCTTTCTGAGATGTAGTAGGATGCAGGCTTCTCTTTTCAATGATTATTTTCTTTGTTAGTGAGAATTTACTAGTTGTAATACCATTGAATTATATAGATTGAGATATTTTCCTAAAAACTACAGTAACTCAATTGACCATTCTTGTCAAACAACTACATTTCTATAGAAATTTTAAGTTAGAAAGTGCCTTTATTTCAATTTATTTGATTTTTTTTATAAGTGAGATTATAATTAGAAAGATGGTGATGAATATCTATAGATAAAAAAGACAAACCTTTGGTACTAATTAAATTGCTAGAAAAGATGGAGCTGTTAGTTCTGTTTGAATGAGTTTTGTCAAAGATCACATTTGGAAAAATTTTAAGATTGCCTTTTAATCTGTAGTTAATTGAAGTATGTTGGTGTACTTAAGATCATCAAGATTACTGAGTTCCAGTACTCTTTCTATAGTTGACATTATTTTACTCAAATTCTTAAAAGATGATGTGCTGTAAAAATTTTGTTTTCTCTACAGTCTAGTTCAAAATTTTTGTGCTAAGAATCAATAAATTGTCAAGATGAGTAATTGATCAAGTACAAGGCTTTAAAAAGCCCTATGGTTAAGGCAATGTGATTATGACATCTTTCAAATATCCTTCAAAAGAAATATAAGGTAAGTCATCCTCCCAACTCTATAACCAAAATTTTCATTTAACATATTGGAGACACAAATATTCTATCTTTGTTATCTCATGAAACCATTTATTTTATAAATTATATGCGTCAGTGATGTGTATTATTCTCTATTAATGAAATATTTCTTTCCTTAGTGTTCAATTATGAACTGTTTTATTTTGCAACAAACTGAAAAGAAACTTAGAAGCAATTTACTAGGCCTGAAAGTTGATATAGGTCTTACTTTGCTTATCGAATATCCTAGTTTGATCCCCTGCTGAGCAAAGAGGCAGGACTAAGACCTGAGCACTACTAAATGTGCAACCACCCAAAACTAGAAGCAATTGCATATGTATTTGCTTCAGTTTTATTCCACGGTCACGGTCACGGTCCTCCCGTTGTTCACCAATTTGCTCGAGTGGGCCCAGTAACGTCTCTATCGTGAGACTTGTTGTTACTGTGTTTGGCATATCTAATACATCACGGGAATTTTATTAATGATGTTAAAGTACCACCTCAGATTTAAACATGTTAGACACTGAAGTTGCTCGTTATTATTGAGGGTTTTTTGTTGTTTGTTTGTTTATTTGACTTCTATTGGTTTTTGTTTGTTTGTTTGTTTGGAGGACACATCCGATGATGCTCAGGGGTTACTCCTAGTAATGTTGAAAGGACCATATGGGATGCTAGGGACTGAACCCAGGTTGGCTATGAGCAAGGCGAACACCTTACCTGTGTAGTATATGTTTAGCCCTGAAGTTGTTTCTTATCTTTTGATGACAAATAAAGATTTTAGTGATGGTTTTTATGACTCTGATTAAAATTATCTGTAACAAATGGAATCACTAAACCTTTGATTCTTTTGTAATCTAGATGCAATTTATCTGTTTCTTGCTGTAATTCAATCAACCTGTATCTAGTTGCAATTTTATTGTTTCCAAATCACTCACCACAAGGAACTGTACCTTTCTAAATTTACAGAAAATATTTGTGGGAATTATAGTTTGCCACATGATTTGCTTCACCATTTATTCAATATTAAAGCACATTTAGCACAAAGATCGCTTTATTAATATGACAGATGAAAAAATCTAACTATAAATTACATATATTTAATTATAAGTAAAATTTATCATTGATAAGTAAAATTTATTATTGGTGCATACTTTCTTCCCTTTTAAAATAAATATTTCATTTAATTTCAGTTTTCACCTTATTTATGTCACTTTGTTATAAATTAATCTATGTAAATATTTTTGTTTAAAGAATATCTTTATCTGATAGCTATTTATGCACATGTGTGTTGACACATGTATGCATGTCATTATTTCAGCACTTATGCTTTCAAGGAAGATATTATTTGGAGAAATATCTAAAGTAGGTATATAAAATAATCTTCTAGGGGCTATAATATAACTCAGTGGAATATCACATCCCTTGCATCAGTAATGTCTGGCTTAATCCCTGAGCACAGAGCTAGGAGTAAGCCCTGAGCACAGCTAGGCATGACTTCCCACTCCAATAAGTTGAAAAACTAAAATATAATAAATAAAGTAATAATTTAACTATGACAACCACAGTATAATTTTAAAAATACAAGGCTTTTAAGAATGTAATCTAACTTTATAATTGCAAGCAACTGAAAATACTAGAGGGGTAAAATGGAAAGAAGAAACTCTAAATAGTTTGAAAAAAGATTTATGAAATAAGCAACTTGTTATCTCCCTTTCTCCTTCTTGCTCTCTCTCCCTCTCCTTTTCATATTTTCTCATCTGATTGCGGGTATGTAGTGAGATTTCATTACAAAACACACTACAAATTTTCAAATATTACTACTTCTATTCCTTAAGTGTTCTAAATTCATTAGAAGATACTTTATAAATGAACTACCAGATTCAAGTAATGTTAAGTAAAAAACAAACTAGCAATTTATGTATAGAAAATTCTATTTTTCTAATACATCAAAGGGTTCTTATTAAAAACCAAAAATGTACAGCTCAAGATATTAACCACTCATGCCTAATATCCAGAAGTAATGTTTAGACAGTCTGCAGAATAATTTCTCTTTTGAATGTTTATATGTGTAATTGTTTTAATATCTTAATAATTGTTTAATAACAGGTAAATAAATCAAACATATATTATAATATCCATCGTACTAAAAAAATCAACACAGGTGTTCAGTGATTACTGTTGGCAAATGATGCTTTTATGATTGTGCATATGTATTGGATCTCCAAGTAGCAATCTTGGGGCTGGGGCTATAGTACAGTGGGTATGGTGTTTGCCTTGCATGCAGCTGACCTTGGTTCGATTCCCAAGATCCCATATGGTGTCCTGAGCACCGCCAGGATTAATTCCTGAACGCAGAGCAGGAGTAACTCCTGTGCATTACTGGGTATGATGCAAAAATAAATTCCAAACTTAGCATTCTTCCATTTTTTTTCTTTTCAGGATTAACTATTTGTATCCTGTACTTCCTTTATCATCAAGTGAAACAATGAAACAAAACAGCAGTGTAAATAAATTTATACTATTAGGATTGACCCAAGATCCTGTAAGACAGAAGATGGTATTTGCAATCTTCTTCATTTTCTATGTGGGAACTGTAATAGGCAATTTGCTTATTATTCTGACTATAAAGTTTAGTCGAACACTTGGGAGCCCCATGTACTTCTTCTTATTTTATTTGTCCCTGGTTGATTTTTGCTTTTCAACTTCTATTGCCCCAAGACTTCTTGTGGATTCTCTGTCGACCAAAAAGTTCATATCTTATAATGAGTGCTTGACTCAAGTCTTTGCACTTCATTTGTTTGGTGCCATGGAAATCTTTGTCCTGGTTCTCATGGCTGTTGATCGCTATGTGGCCATCTGTAAACCCTTGCATTATCCAACCATTATGAGGCGGCAGGTCTGCATCATCCTGATTATTCTTTCATGGATAGGTTCTTTTATACATTCTATAGCTCAGATTATACTGGCCTTGAAATTGCCTTTTTGTGGACCTAATGAGATTGATCATTATTGCTGTGATTTGCAACCCTTGCTGAAACTTGCATGCATGGATACATATGAGATAAACCTTCTGTTGGTGTCTAACAGTGGGGCACTTTGCACAATTGGACTTGTGTTTCTTTTGTTCTCATATTTTGTTATCTTGCATTCACTGAGAAACCACAGTGCAGAAGGGAGGAAAAAGGCTCTTTCCACTTGTACTTCCCACGTCACTGTAGTGATATTATCTTTTGGTCCGTGTATATTTATATATACACGTCCTCCCATCACTTTTGCTGCGGACAAGATGGTAGAAGTCTTTTATACTATCGGAACACCCTTTCTCAACCCACTCATTTACACACTGAGGAACGCAGAGGTGAAAAACGCCATGAGAAAGCTATGGCTCGTTGAAACTACCTCAGCAAGTAAAGAATGAATAAAGGATCTTGTTCATTAATCATGAAGGTATGGGTTTCAAATATGGCTATTTAAATTCGGAATCCTCCTGCAACTTAATAGAATACACATGTATTTCTTGCATTTCTGTGAGTTCAGTTAATCTGAAGGAGAGCAAAACAGTATAATTTTATCATTTCAGCAAAAACTACTTATGGTGACTGATATAAATATTGATGCATTTAATAAAGCAGAAATAGGTTAAGTAAATTGGACAAGTTTTATGAAATACATATTGTGTGCTTGAAATATTTTTAAAAAGCTCAAAACTAAATTCTACCTGTTTCATCTATGTGTGTTAAAACATATGCTTTTACTTTAATAAATGTATCACTGTATCGCCGTCATCCCATTGTTCATCGATTTACTTGAGTGTGCGCCAGTAATATCTCTATTCATCCCAGCCCTGAGATTTTAGCAGCCTCTTCTTACTCATCTTCCCCAACAATTGGAGGCTCTTTCAAGGTCTGAAAAATGAGAACTGTTATAGTTATTAGTTTTGGCCTATCGAATATGCCATGGGTAGCTTGCAGGGCTCTGCCCATGCATGCAGGATACTCTCCGATATATATATATATATATATATATATATATATATATATATATATATATAGTTGCCTACTGTCTGAACTCCATCAAACATGGTATAGTAATTATGGAAAATGGGTAAGAGGTGTCTTGTGATGTGTCGCGATCCAGAAAACTGCCTGGAGTGTGGTGGCGATTGGGTGGTGGAGGTCAGCTGCTAGGGCTGGGTCCCTTGGGGTGGGTAGGGCTCTCACCTGTCCCCCTCTGAGGCGCCCCAAGTGAAAACAGCCTGGTATGGAGTCCAGTGACATGCTTATGGGGGTCTCCTTTTATACTCCCATCTGGGAGGAGCAGCCATGAGTTCTGGAGGGTGATGGTGAGGAGATTATCTTGTTTGGGCAGGATATGGTTTATGGGTGTGACCCTTGGGTCGCTGGAGACTGGGGAAAACAGGCAGAGATCACTGCTCCTGAGTCAGTCATTGAGTCCAGAGTCCAAGGTCACAAACTTTCACATTACCTGGGTTCTGTGGAACTTCACTCCTGTGTGAGGTTTGACCCAAGCATCCAGAAATCTGCCTAAAGCATGGCAGCTGTTGGGTAGTGGAGGTCGGCTGCTGGGGCTGGGTTCCTTGGAGTGGGGAGGGTTCTCACCCTCCTCCCTCTGGGGTGACCTAAGTGAAAACAGCCTGACGCTGTTTTATATATATTTATATATTAAAACATATATTCTCTCTATATATTTATATATAATAAATATGTAATAACTAATAATTTTTGGTACTGACAATGATATCTATGCCTGTATAAAGTTTCAGGTGCTATATTAGGCCTATTTTATAAATGAAGAAACTATAGACAAGTGGAAGCATCAAAACATTCAAAATGTAAATACTTCTGTTTCATTTCAAATAATTTCATTCATAGTGTCAGTGCACTTATGCTCCAAATAGTGCATGTTGAGGATGCTACAGTGTTAAAATGTTTTGACAATTTCATCTGAAGAAATTAAAGTTGTATACCTACTTTCCATTTCCTACCTGCAGTAAATGGTCTGGTTAAGGAGTAAACTATTCAAACAACATGAGCTACTACTATCTAATGCATTATTGATTATGAAAGCAATTTGGAATATAATCTAGGAGCAGCAAAATATCACCCTGAATTCCAAATATGGGATAATCGTTGATTTTAACCTGGTTGCTGGTTGAATTTATTGAACTTCTTTCACAATAGACAGGGCAGCATTATGTGCTTAATGTCATGGATACTTCACTGGATGTGAATTTTCATCCCTTCATGCAGTGTTTCTGCCAAAACTGTCATTCATACAATTATAAATGATATTATCCACCATTATGTTGCTCACTACACAGTTTATGATCAAATTATTGATTTCATATAAACTGACTATAAGCAATAAGCAGATGCCTATAGAATTATACCACTATGTCCTTACAAGACAAAGGAATAATCTCTTGATGAATGGATTAAAAAGTACCTATTAGATGAAAATCTCTTGTAGTATTTATAAGAATTTTAGTATTCCAGAAGACTCTATGTACTTTCAATAACCATTCATTTGATATTACTGTTTCTCCTTTGAAGACTATTCATGAGAGTATGTAATCAGAGCAAAAATGGAAATGCCACCCCTCAGGATTACCCTCAAAATACATTTTTTCTTCATTTTTTCATTACCTTATGGACTGATTGATTGTTACGGACTGAGTTTTCAAGGCTAAAATATTTTCACAGTATACAAGCATGATTCTACTGAAATTAGGGTTAAAACTGATACCTGGGATGGGGGTGGGGGGATATTATCCATGGTGGTGGAAAATGGGCACTGGTGGAAGGATGGGTATCTGATCATTGTATAATAGAAACCCAAGCACAAAAAATTGTAAATCTACAACTGTACCTCATGGTGTTTAACTAATTAAAAAAAAAAAACAAAAAACTGATACCTGGTCAAGTCCTTTTGACCTCTGAATTCATAGGGATTAAAGGGAGTGACTATTAGCTGGAGTGACTTTTCCAGTCTATTAGAAGAAAATTGAATATTGACTAAATAATGAAGATTAGAGAATGTCTAGAACATAAAAATAATCATAGTTTAAAGAAATATTTTTGAGAGGGTTTATGGCTACATCCAGGTGTACGGAAGTCTTATTCCTGGCTCTGTGCTCTGGGATCATTCCTGTCAGAGTCCAGGGGACCATATATAGTGCTGAGGATGAAACCCAATCACACAAATGCTGGGAAAGCACCAGACCTGCTGTACTATCTCCATGTTGTCATGACCATTTTAAAATTACCCTGCTCCTCAATACTCAATGGATACTCACAATGACCAAATCCAGACAGAACTACTAATAGCTTAGACATTTTAGCATGAAGGTGTGTGAGACCCCACCATGTACAAGAAGCTTTCAGAAGCTTCAATGAGGTTTTAAAAAAAAATGAGGTTTTAATAAAAAACCTAAGAAGTTATAAATGTCCATTCATAACCATCACAGCATTAGAAATCATAACTGCAATTATTAAAAAGGTCTACTTCAATTATAAATATATTCTGATGCTCCCAGCTCTTTTAAAAGTTGAACTAGTACAGTAAGGTAGACTATCCACAATGCATTTGGGTATTATCTACTGATTGAAAATTAAAAAATAGACTGACCTCCCTGAATAAAAGATTCCTCCTGGCTGAGAGTCTTTGAACTGAAACACCAGTGCTTCCTATTTGACATCCTACACATTATTACAGTAACTCTACTGACTGCTGCAATTTACTGATAGCAGAATTATACTATAACATTTACTTTGTTTGAGTACATATTAGCCTCTAGATTTAAACTATGATATATGCTTTGAGGTTTTTCCACAGTTTCCCAAATTGCAAAAATATTTTTTCTACAGTAAATGTTAATAATAAAAACATTAATTTGAGCCCTTGCCTTCGGTCATATGGAGCAATAGTCTTCACATGGATTAAATACCTAGACAAGAGTGTCACAACTATGAAAATGAGTAGAAGAATCTAAGTGGAAAATGTTCAGAAATTTTTTGGAAAATTAGTTTTAATTATGCTACCCAAAACCGAAATAGTAGAACAGAAAGAAATATATTGAATGTCATGATGTTTATGCATGAAAGGATATAATAACTTGAGTGTAAAAGCATCCCATAGAAAATGATGAAATTATTTCAAATATCCAATTGATGTGAGGTTAAAATGCAGAACATGAACTTATGAGTGTAACTTAAATGCAGCAGTAAGTGGGAAAAAGATGCTCCTTGAAGACAGTATACAAGTGGATCTGCACCTTATGGAATCATGGTCATTACTAATTACAACTATGTATAGTTCATAGCAATGCAAACTGTTTTAGTCACCATAAAAAGACAGTCTGAAATAGAATTAACAAAAGACTGGCCACATTATCCAGATTCCCAATTCCTATTACATATCCCAAGTAATTAAAAACAGGAAATCAATTGAAAACTTTTATACTCATGTTTATCACTGTATCACTGTCATCACTGTCATCCCGTTATTCATTGATTTACTCAAATGGGCACCAGTAATGTTTCTATTCATCCTAGCCGGAGATTTTAGCAGCCTCTCCTTTTTCATATTTCCCAATGATTGGAGGCTCTTTCAGGATCAGGGGAATGAGACCTGTTATCGTTACTGTTTTTGGCTTATCAAATTCACCACGGGAGGCTTGTCAGGCTCTGCCTGTGTGGGTAGTATACTCTCGGTAGCTTGCCGGGCTCTCCGAGAGGCATATATTTATATATTTCTCTTCATGATTTTGTTGCCCACTGTCTGAACCCCATCAAATATGGTGTGGTAATTATGGAAAATAAACTCATGTTTATAACCAAAATATTTAAGCACACTTACTAGCCACCAAACTATGAATAGATAAACCAAAGAATAATATTCAATGTTAATGAAGTGCTTCTAACAGTCACAACATACATAACCTATGAGAGCAGGTTAATGAAATAAATTCATTTTCAACTAATTAAAAACAAAAGTTTTATTTTTATGCAAAAATGTAAACATAATTTGGAGTTCCCAGAATAAACCCTTTACCCGGTTTTCCCTTTTATCATCTTATAAGAATGAAGCACTTTCAATTACAATCAAGCATATTTTAAGTAAAATAATTCAAGTGAATGATCACTTTAACTGAATTCTCTAACCTTGGTTAATTCTCTTGTTATGACCTAATCTAATCCATGATGCCAAATTGCATGCAGTTTGTTAATTTTCTTCTGCACCTCAATTGAGCTACAATTTTTCTGATTTTGCTTATTTTCATGACTTTTAATGATTTCAAGGAGATATATTAAAGATATTATATATCTTACATGGCCGACCCAAGTTCGATTCCTCTGCCCCTCTCGGAGAGCTCAGCAAGCTACCGAGAGTATCTCG